AACACATACTCGCAGTTGTAGGCTATAAGTATGTGGGTTTTGTTCTTCATCTTGAATTCATCGAAAATAGCAATCAATCTCTCTTTCAGGTCTTCCACGTCACATCCATGGAGGCCTAAACATGTCTTCTCATTGACTCACAATGGGTCCAAGAAGCTTATGGTATCCCATTTGCTTTTTAGTATGCAAACTTTTGCTATACACCTACATAAAATCATTGTAAGTGCTCAAAAGTTAACAATTTATGTCTCGAGAGAGTAGTTAATTGTAATATCGTGCGTGTAGGGTACTTACGTAGGCATCAGTGATAAACTGGCTCATGCCATACATGTACCGCTTGTCCGTTCGGGACAGATGCATCCACTCTCGACCCATCTCTGCACAAAAAAATGCTGAGACAGTAATTACAAAGAATTAATAAGAAATCAAGCTTCATAAACAACAATTGTAGCTCGAAAGTTCCATTTTTTGAAAACATTATTGTATACTAATTATTGGAAAATTGAAATTGGTAGCCCCGGCCTTATAAATTGAAAATCGTAGTAAAAAATAATTATTGCACAATAATGAAGAACAACTATTCTACTCTACTTCCAAGAACTAATTATAGCATCACATACTAACAATGATGATCTTGACCACCATAGAATAATTAGCTAGGGATTTAAATGTGTTCATAGACACCAATCTTTTGGATGATGGATTCACCACAATTTGAGCCTTGCACAAATATCCAATTTGAAAAGTGCTCTCTAGAATGGAGAAAGAACTATAATGAGAATCAAGCAATGTAATGTCGCAGGACAGAGAAACTTAAAATAACTATATAATGTCGGTTGCACTTTTTCCCTAAAGTGTTCAATCTATCCTTGAGAACAAACCAAAAGGAATATTTTCCACTTTAATTGACAACAAGATTTCCATAATCACTTAAATATTGATGTCGCAGGTGGTCACTGAATTTATCATATTGTTATTGTTGTTATTATTATTATTATTATTATTATTATTATTATTATATATATATATATATATATATATATATATATACCTGTGATAACAATAACATTGAAGTACTTATCACTACATAAACTTGACCTTCTATGACAATTTCCTCATAAAAAATGAGTTATGTGTCACTAAATTACTCCATTTATGACATTTTGCATGAGGTGACATAGCTTAATGATGAAAATATGGCAGTCATCATAAAAGCCAACCCAAAATCATCATAACCTGCTAAGATGTCATATTTGTGAGAATTTTATACCAATGTTAACCCCATCATAATTGTTTAATGATTTTTTTTATAAAATGCATCATTTATGCTAGCAAGCATAGCCCACCTATAAGAGTGGAGTGGGTCCCACTGCCACATTGTCATACATGGTCCACCCGTCAGGCTTCCCTACTAGCTATCGTATCCCACAGGATTTTCATGCCTAAAAGTATCCAAGATTTTTAAGGCTCCAATAGATTTTTGTTTATTTTCCAAAGATTCTTGAACCAAGATGGGATGGAATTCATTTAGGTTTTATTTTTTAATTTAAATAAAATAGTAAGTCTTTTCATCCTTCCTAACTCCATCTACGCCAAATATTTTTTTGGGCTAGGGGAGCAACAGTGAGCAGACCAGCCAAAGAAGGGAAGGAAAGAAGGCACATTCCTTGACCTAACCTGGTTCAGTTGGTCCTAGAGACTACAACCCTCCGCTTGAGCACTTCCCACAAAAACGAAAGAACGACTTCAGCCATTCTCAGCGGTGAGTTTCACGGCGTTGTTTTAAAAAATGCCACACCATGTAAAACAAAATAAAACATGGATGAAACATCAATTCTCAATGCATAGTTTCGTTCCAGTTTTTCATAGGCATTTAGTTTGATAACTCATATAAAGTTGGTAATCGTGCCAAAAGAGTTTAGACTAACTTATGCTCTCTCGTTCAAATGTTGCCATTGATAAAAAAAATGCCTATGTGGCAGCCTATTAAATACAGACGAAACTTACATGAAACTCTCACTGAGATTGGCCTTCCACCTACCAAATCACCCTTCCGTTTCATTTGGCGTTTTCACTATACAACTACATCCTATGGCAATTTTTAAATGATGCCATTTTAACCGGTAGGATATGCCTAATTTTGCTGAACTTCACTGTTGGTATTTATTTTTGTAGAAAACCAAAAAATCCTTTGCACAAGTACTTATATACAGTATTAGAATCCATTGTAACACAGAATTGGGCCCTGGTCTACCAAAGGCCTTGGGCCACCACCTGGCTCTCTGGGGCTGATATTTATGTTGCACTTTACTTTACTTTCTTAGCTTTTGTATCAGTGCTTGGGATAATATTTTGTGTCAAGAGTTTCATAGGGATTCAATAGACATAAAATTGGGTGAGATTTTCATGTTCCTTTAAAATGTTTGACTGAAATTGCAATACTTGAACAAATTTCATCCAAATGAAAAATAAAACTACCAAGATATATATTTATGATGATGACCAATAGAACCAAAAATTCTTAATAAAAAATCCACCAATCTTTCTCCTTACTATCTGCTATATAATTTTTGACCGTGCCTAAATGTTACCCCAGTCTTGTAATTGTCACTTTCCACCATATAATATGACGGCCACCGCAAGGATTATTATTGACTCTATACCTAAGTGTGGGCATATGTAAGCAATGAATGAAGACTAGACCCTTTTCCAGTCTTGTGTTGTACTAGCTGAAATAAGTACGGGTTGTTTGTTCTTAACCCTCAGTTAACCAAAAAAATGGAAGTATACATAAGAGGCCCAATAACACTTCTAGCTCCAAGCCCATTTATAGAGCCCTATGTATATAATATCCTACCGAGCCACCTTACTGCAAAAGCTCACGCCCCTCCAATTATCATAACCAACTAGCTGCCTCCATTAACCCATAGCCACCATTTGAACCCTAATTAAAGGCATGTTGGTATCGACCCTGTAGTCTGGAGTCAGCAACATGCGCCACCACTCGGTCAACATCCAATCCTTTGAGCCATGCATAGGTGCCTCGCTCTAGGCCTTCATGCCGACACCATGACACTCGCTCCCTCCAACATGTGGATGCCAACCTTCCGTAACGACGTGGTAGCTAAGGCAACTCTTCCTCCATGAAGGGGTAGAAGGAAGAAACCTGCACTTGGATAGGCACCACTATTCACCTAAACGATCATTTAGCCCGTTTTATACACTGTGTAAATGCTACACAGTTGTTTGTTTTTTTGGTTTAGTCAACTATTTATTCTGTTTACATGGTTATTTTGCCCGTTTAAATGGTCATTAGCCAGAATAATGGCTAACCAACAAGTGACCAACTATTTACTTTTTAACATTTTAAGATAACACTATTGGGCTCAAATTTGACACAATCCAGCAGATCCGATGGCGGTGGCAAGCCGAGATAAAGTGATGAGAGGATAGGAGCGCCTAGTATGTGATTACAACCTCGTCCAAGATTTGTTTTTCTGATTTCTGTGAATGTTTGGATGTGTATGTGTAAATTCATCGGTTAGTTCTGTCAAGACTGAATACAAATAGCAAAACTGAATTGTTCTCTTTTTCCTTTTTGTCAATGAATCTCAGTCCTGAGTTTTTATCTACCAGAGACTTATAAAATAACCGAGGAACGGAAACATTTGGTTTGGTCCACCCAGTCTATTGCTTCACCTCCACTACTTGATCACTCCACTTTAGCTCCACTAGCATCATTATGATCGGTATGTTATTATCCTTGTTTTTGGTAGTTTAGGCTATAATCAAAACTATCATTGCTTTGTTAGGTCCCATTATTCTTCCATATATGCTTCCACCTCACTGCCCCTACCTCCATTTATTACCAGAGCCTAGAAAACCCAAACTATAAACGAACCACTTCATATATAGACGATTCTGTGGTGCTCCAAAGGACAACGAGTCCATCATATAGGAACAAATAATAGCACTGATGAAAGCTCCAACATGAGAAACATAACTAACAATTAAACAAGGGATATCTCAAATATTCCCTCTGATCCAAATTATAAGTCGTTCTGACTTTTCTAGATACATATTTTGTTTAATGTCTTTAGACATAATATATATTTAGGTGCATAGATAAAGTTGTACCTGGAAAAGTTAAAACGACTTATAATTTGGAACGGAGGGAGTAACTAATTTTAATTAGCTAGACAGTAAAAGAAAAGGGATTTTCATACTTGTTACATGTGAAGTTGTGGCATGTACCCTACCATCTGCTCGGCAAAGGGCCAAAACCTTCTTCGAGAGAAGGATGGCGAGTGGTCAAAGGTTTAAGGGTCCTACTTGGGAAGACTGAGACAACGCCATTCATGCCTAAAGGTATGTAAAATAGTATAATTAAGATAAGCTAGATTATTCATGCATGCCATACTATTTCAACTGTCGATATATCAATTAAAAGTTGATATATTTATTGGGTTCATCCAGCTATCCCTTGATATTGCATTGAGGTTCTCAAATCTCAATGCAGAATCACAAAAAAAGGATTGAAAAGAAGGGTTTGTTAGTTGTCACAAACCACAGTTTATGTGCCTCTTCTTCTTCGCTTAGCTTGGCGGCAAAGCCATTTAAGCTTCTCTTGTAACTATGGAGGATCCTGTTTGAAGCTGAGCTGCAAAGGACAAAATAGTATATAGGTTCACACTCCAAGCTTTGTTCAGTAAAATATGAGAATATAAAATTTCCACAAAATAGTATATAGGTTCACACTCCAAGTTTTTATTTGAAATGCTGTATGTATACCTGGTATTCACTACTAGGAAAGAAGAACAAGAGAACATGCATGCAGAGTTTTTTGTTCTGAAACAAAGGCGCCGCACAGAATAATTATTCCTGTACAGCAGTTGCATACGCAGTATATACGAGTATATGACAACTAATTGCCTTACCAAACAAGAAAAAAAAAGTCCTGCAGCAAACTGCAAGCCGAAACATGATTTGTCCAGAAATGGTCAGGTGTTACTCTCTGGTGAAAAGAGAATTTCAGACCTGCCGTCGTGGAGGACCAGCAGGTCGTGATGAGCAAACTCTACAGCAGAGAAACCTTCAGGCTCTGACGCATCAGTGCTGGGTAGGTGCCCCAGGTACACGATATAGACCTGCTTATATATCACGATCAAATAGATGTGATAAAATTGCGTAGCTAGATTTTATGCAGATCCTGGGGGAACAGGACACAACCAATAAGGATGGGTCAATGATCCGTCAGACCTGCTTCCCATCGCCGATGGATTCAGAGGCACTCAGGCAAGCGGCTAAGACAGTGACGAGGAGGAGAAGCAGCAGCAGTGTTCTGGGAAGAGGCATCGTATCCTACATGTGCACGGAAGCTTGGTGCAGCTCTGCTCTACCATATATATATATATATACACGTATACATATACGTGTATATATATATATATATAATATATCATATATATATATATATATACATATACGTATATATATATATAAGAGATAATATATTACAATACATATTACATGCCATGATCTTTGATTTGATGTTTGCAACATCAATCATTCGGGCGTGCAAGACCATACCAAAGAATACCCCGAAGGATAAGACCGTCTGACGAACGAAGGACAGCAGCGCAAAAAGGAATATCTGATCACTCTCATCAGGCAGGACAATTATTCTCCGTCCAGCTATCCGAGCAACAACAATAAAGATGATAATTGAAGGCGAGATGCTTCCTTAAGCACGAAGGCTCCTCAGACGATGACTTCGCCTCGAAGGAACTTCAGATAAGCATGAAGGACACTCCCTTCGTGCTATAAAGCGAGAAGCCAGGCGCATTCATCCAGAATGGGGATTCAGCATCGGAGCGAACCACCAGACACCGAAGACACCACACTCCACTCTCCACTCCACTCCACCAACTCTCCACTCACACATACACATGAAGACATGATCTCAGAAGCACTCTTGAGACCCATCCACGAATAATAGTAATCACCCACTAGCATTGTATCACTCCACCTTTGTAAATTACAGAATAAGGGAGGTCCCCGTGTTCCTCCTGAGCTTGTAAGGTAATCCCTCAGGTTTGTGCTAAGTGTTTGGGGTTTTCCGAAAGGGAAAGCCATATGTAAGCTTGCTCTGTGAAAATAAATTAAGCTTTCCTGTTTTAATCCTTGTCTTTCTTTAAGCTCGTTCATATGGAGCGATGTCTCTATGCTAGGGACCCTAGAGGAGAAGCCTCTGCGTGTGTTGTTCTCGTGTTAGCCACAGTAGCGGCATTTGTAGAGAACCACAATGCTGCGAGAGAGTGTTTTCTTCGGGTGGAACTGCCTGGGGAGACGATAGAGCCTGAGTTCTGTGTGTTCGTGGCTGGGGATAGCGAGGGAGTAGACCGGGTTAGCCTGGTTCTGAAGCTAGCTAGTGATGCATACGGTGAGTACCGAGTAGGACTGTCACAAGCATAGTCGCACGACCGGCTGAAATATTGGTCTCGCCACTTTCGCAAAAGATCTGAGAAATATTAATCAACATACTCATTAATCGCACTTATATTCAATAATCGCACTCATACTCACTAATCGCATACGCATCCTGCATCCATAAAGAAATACGAAGTGCTCCAAATAGCTACGCGCATAGTGCTCGAATAGTGAAAGAAGACGAGTGCCTGAGCCACTCCCGAGTGAGTGCTCGCGCACTGTTCATATTCCGAATTTGAATAGTAGCGGGTATTTTGAATAGTGCCACGAATTTGAATAGTAAACGCTGAATTTGAATAGTGCTATGAATAGTAACTCGAGAATTTTAAAATTTGAATTTTGAGTTCGAGTTTGTTGCAACGGTTTAGCGGATCCCCTACGCAGTGGTATCGGAGCCAGGTTATTAAAATTTGAATTTAAGGGATTTACTTATATTGTCAAGCTTAAAAAGTTTGTTAGTACAACCTCAGTTAAATACTTTACTTATAATGGATACTTTAGATAGTCAGATTCAATATTATGAGAAAAAATTAAGTAAGATTCCTGAAGAATATAATACATCTATGACACGCAAATGGTCTGCCATAAGAGAAAATGAACTTTACTTTAGATGAGAGTTATGTAGACTTGATAATATCAAGAAAGATAGAGAATTGAAGAACAAATATTTTAAAACACCTGTCGTGATAAAGAAGCAGGAAGATGAGTTAAAAACAAAAGATAAAGAGACTCATAAAGCTAAAGAAGTTGTGCAGACAAATAATATTGAATACATTACAAATGAACAAGAGCAGTGGGAGATTAATAATAAGTTTTTATTAGAAAGCTATGAAGAAGAAAATAATGCTGAGAGTTACAAAGATTTTATAGACTCTTTAGATGATGAAGAGTTATGCAATCTAGATAATGCAATGAAAGGGTTAGATATAATATCTGAAAATATTGATAGCTCAATAGAAACAAAAATAGAATTAATGAATCAAGAAGACTGTGAGCATGATTGGATAAAAGGAAGAGGTGATTATAATATAAAATGTACTTTTTGTATATTTTACCCTAGTCAAGAAAACAGACTTACATGTAGTAAATGTTTAAAGCAAGCATGTGCTTCATGTCTAAGAATTAATAACCAAAAATGGAGGCAAGAAGTAGAGCTAGAACCAGAAGATAAACTACTAATAAGTAGAGTCAGAAATTTGGAGAATAGAATAATTAGCTTAGAAGCTGAATTAGAAGAGCTAAGGAGTAAAATAGAGCTCAATGAAGTAAATAAGATCGAAGAAAATGAAAGAGGCATGACCGAGTTAAAGGATCAAGCCATATCAAATAGAAAAAATGATAATGCTATACAATTAAAAGATGCCATAATAAACTTTGATAGCAAATATATAGTTAAATTACCATTCAAAGAAATCATAGGAATAAGAGTACCTGTAAAAGTAAAATTAACGCCTAATATCTCCTATAAAATATTAGCGTTAGTAGACACAGGTTGTACAAAAAATATTATACATGATAAATATTTTGTAAAATGTCTAGAGATAGTTCATACAATAGATCAAGATAAAGCAGAAATATCTACTGATATGTCAGGAATAAAAAAGGTTCATAATCAACTAGCTTATGATGTTGAGGTACAAATAAATAACACAAAATATATAATGGATGAAATTACAATAAGAGATTTGTCTATGATACATGATGATATGATATTAGGATTAAGATTTTTACAATTCTCTTTACAAACAACAATCATATATGAGCAAGGAATAATATTTATTCCTTATCAAGACAACATTCCATATATAACAGAAGTACGAAAGTCTATAAATTCTAATCCAGGAAAGACCAACCTAGAACTCCAAGGATCTGATGAAAAGGTCCCTGATAATCATATACATGAAAAGTTAGGTGAAAGTATAGAAGATTTTCATATAGCAAACTCATGCATAGAATGTATCAGTCTGCAATCATAGCACCAAATTGGTATAGAGATATAAAATCTAAAAAGGATATAGATAAAATTGTAACAAAATTGGAAGATATTCAGATAATCGGAGAAATACCAATGAAGCATTGGGATAAAAATGGAATAGTATGTAAGATTAACATAATAAATCCTGATTATATAATCAAGACAAGTCCCATAGAAGCAACACCTAAAGATATAGAAGAATTTAAGATGCATATCGAAGAATTAATAAAATTAGGAGCTATAAGAGAAAGTCGAAGTCCTCAAAGATCAGCTTCATTTATAGTTAGAAATCATGCTGAAATAGCTAGAGGAAAGTCAAGAATGGTTATTAATTATAAAAGGCTAAATAATAATACTATAGATGATGCTTATAATATCCCAAATAAGCAAAAATGGATAAATAGAATACAGGGAAGCAAATATTTTTCAAAATTTGATCTAAAAGCTTGGGTTTTGCAAAAAATGGCGGAAGAATCAATAGAATGGATTTGCTTTCACATGTCCTTAAGGTCATTTTGAATTGCTAGTAATGCCCTTAGGATTAAAAAATGCCCCTGCTTTATTTCAAAGAAAAATGCAAAATATTTTTAATGAAAATCAAGAATTCATATTAGTTTATATTGATGACTTATTAGTATTCTCAAAATCCTATAAAGAACATATAGCTCATCTGGAAACCTTCTTTAGAAAGGTAGAACAGCATGGGTTAATATTGTCTAAAAGAAAAATGGAGATATGTAAGGAAAAGATAAACTTTTTAGGTCATGAAATAGGAGAGGGAAAAATTTATTTACAAGATCATATTGCAAAGAAAATTTTAGAATTTCTAGATGCCATGAATGATAAGAAAACCCTGCAGCAATTCTTAGGAATAGTAAATTGTGCTAGAAATTATATTGAAAATTTAGCTAAGCTAGCTGGTTCATTATATGCAAAATTAAGAAAAAACGGGCAAAACATTTTAATTCTGAAGATATAAAGTTAGTAAGATCTATTAAAGAAAGGGTTAAAGACTTAAAACCCCTAGAGTTACCTTTAGATGATAATTATTTCATTATAGAGACTGATGCATCCAAGTTAGGATGGGGTGCAATATTAAAACAAAAACCACACAAGTACTCTCCAAAGTTAGAAGAAAAAAAATGTAGGTATGCTTCAAGAAAATATAAGCTAAAAGCAATAAACAATACAGATAGGGAAATTTTAGCTGTTATAAATACAATAAATGCTTTTAGACTATATCTAGGATTTAAAGAGTTCACAGTTAGAACCGACTGTGAAGCTATATGTAGATACTACAATAAAGTCAATAGTAAGAAAAGTTCAACTAGACGTTGGGTCTTATTTGAAGATATTATTACTGGAAATGGTTATAAAGTAATATTTGAGCATGTAAAAGGCAAAGATAATACATTGCCTGATATATTTTCACGATCTTCTATTTTGCAGGAATGAAGAGAGGAACAAGCCCTATTGGGGTGAATGTTTCAGCTTTGGAACTGATAATAAGTTAAGAATTTTCCCACCAAATACCTATAAATTTAAGCCTCGAGACCATATTGTTCTAGATGACATACAAGAATGCATTCTAGATTATTTCTGGTTTCAATATAACAATAAAAGAGAAGATAAATGTTATATGCTAGCTATATTAAATAGTCTTGCTGAATATTTTCATATGATTAATGGCAAAATACAACCAAAAGAATCATCTAGCAATATGGAGATAAAAGCCATATATGTTATATATATGGGAAAAACACCAGGAATTTATATATCATTTAAAGAAGTTATTGCTCAGCAGATAGAAAAAGAAAAAGATAGAGAAGTGTCTTGGAAAAAATATTTAGACATTGATCAAGCTCTTTCATATGCAATAACTATTCTGGGA